CTTTTTTTTTTTCCCCCAGACAGATTCTCATGAAGGTTCTTAGACTTGCTTGGTAGCTGAGGATGACCTCAAATTTTTGATTCTTCTGTTTCTACTTCCCAAGTGCTGGGATTAGAGATGTGTACCTGGTATGCAGTGGTGAGGCTGAAACCCATGGCTTTGTGCATGCTAGGCAGAAGCACTCTACCAACTGAGCTACATTTCCATCTCCCAATTACACAGTATTTTAACAGATACATGTGGAAAGCTTATTACTAACATTATTACAGAAATATACTAAACAAAATCACTAATATAGAAAATGCAATCAGAAAAACTTGAAAACACACCAGTAACATCAATACACATTAAATTACAGCTGTAGAGTATGGCCAACCTTACTTCAGCAGCACAGTTAATACTGGAGATAATTTCAGAATCTTAACGCCAATATTTACGTGCTGCTAAGGCACTGCTGACATTGCTATCAGAGGCGCTATGAATAAAAACATGTGCTTTCTTCAGAAGATCAGACCCTTGTATTTTGAGGCAGCACAATATGGCCTGCACTTTTCAAAATCCACAAACCATTATGTGCTGCTACTTTACTCCAAGGTTTTTGTTTTTGAAAACACAACAGCACCTAAATAGTAATTTACAAAAAGTCTTTTTAGGAAGAAACAGAATACATAAAATCCATGTTTGAAAAACCTAACAATGGTAAATGCATAATTTTATAAGATTTGAGTAGAATAAAATTTATGTCCATATAATAAATTTAATAAAAGCCTACTGTATACTTAATACAGTGCTATAATTTATAGTACTAATAAAAACAAGGAAAGCAAACCATTTTTCTGTGCCAACTTCATAAGAATATGATTTATGCCGGGCGGTGGTGGCGCACACCTTTAATACCAGCAATCGGGAAGCAGAGCCAGGCAGATCTCTGTGAGTTGGAGGCCAGCCAGAACAGAGCGAGTTCCAGGAAAGGTGCAAAGCAACACAGAGAAACCCTGTCTTGAAACAAAAAACAAAAACAAAAACAAAAAAACCAAGAATATGATTTATTAACTAACCAAACTTTTGAATGTATTTAACAAATGAAATGGTTATAAAAGTTGGTTTTCACCTTATTAAGAGAAGCACACCTTTCAAAGATAGGATAAGGCTTTATGTGTAAGGAAAAACATGAAACACACAAGAACTCAGTTTTAAGAAATTTATAGCAACCAAATACTTAGAAAAAGACTAAAAGTGACTTGGAAGTATTTTCATACTAAATGCAATTGTGTGTGTGTGTGTGTGTGTGTGTGTGTGTATTCTCAAAATATATTATATAGCCCCCCAATCCATACATGAACACTCAAGATTTGCCATCATATTGGAATGGTTATTGTAAATTCAGTGTCATTCAATATATATTGCCCAGAATAACGTGTTAGGATAGCATATCAAATTGGTTTCCTAAAAGAATGTAGAACAGAAATCCTGTAGCTCAAGCATAAGTGACCATTTGTTTGTTTCTCATTAAAATGGCTATTCCTTTAAAGGCACACTGTTTTCTATTATAGGACAAATTTGTACAAACAAACCATGAAATTTTCATCTCTATTCTGTTTACAGGAAAGTAATATTCCATTCATTCTAATTGTTTAGAAGCACAGTCATATTCCATTAAACTTATATAAGCAACTATTGTTTCACCCATTTCTCTATTATTGCCTGAAGTATTAACACAATTTTTAATATCTACTTAAGATATATCAACACATATGCCAGTTTTTCAGTCTTAGTTTGCTTTTCATTGTTGTGAAAACCACCATGATCAAATATAACTTGGGAAGGAAAGGGATTATTTCATCTTACAACCTAATGTCCATCATGAAGGGCAAGAACTCAAATCAGGAACCAGGAGGCAGGAAATGAAGGCAAAGGCCATAGAGGTATGCTACATACTAGCTTGCACTGTTTTCTTTCTTATACCACCCAGGACCATCTGCCCAGGGGTGATGCTGCCCACAGGAGTTGGGTCCTCAAACATCAAGCATTAATCAAGAAAACGCTCACTAGACATGTCCACAGGACAATCTGATGAAGGCAATTCCTCAACTGAGATTCTCCCTTTCTAGATGTCTATTTGTAAGACACACAATCAGTTCCAAGAAATTTTAGGTTCTTCTCAAACCTACTATCTTGTTAAATTTTAAACATATATGGCTATTTTTCACTTATTTTATTGAACACCTTACTCTATGTTACCACTATCCCATTTGTTACACTGTAGTTGGTACAATACTGTATAAAACATAGTTTCTCTTTAGAAAAGATTTAGAATGACCTAAATTATATCAAGGCCAGCCTTATCTGCATAGTGAGACCTTGTCTCAAAAGTATAACGAGCCACAAGCAAAAAAAAAAAAAAAAAAAAGGAGTGAGGATCAAGATGTCAAGGTCATCCTTGGCTACATACTAAGCCCGAGGGCATCCTGAGCTATGTGAGACACTGTTACAAACAAACATATATCAACCTCCCCCCATATATTGTTCTTTGTCCCTGTACATTACATATAAACATTAAATGATTATTCCAATGTCAGGTCCATCTTTTGTGTGTAAAATCTATTTTTAAGCTAAGACAGTCAAACTTGAAACAGAATATGAGTATTCACATTCATGCTTATGTTTTATAAATTAAAAAAAATTCACAGCAAGAAATGCCCTTTATTTCTAAAAACTAGTCAAATATGTATAACAAAATTTAGCACTTTATACATTTTAAGGATTTCAGTTTTGTGGGATTAAGTACATTCATACTCCAAACACTGTCAACCCTATTAAATTTTTCACCTCCAACTGATGTACCTTACTCATTAAACACCAACTGTCCATTTCTCCTACGTCTTAGTCCAAAGAAATTAACTAACTTTTCTGTCTCCTAAATTTGCCACATCCTACAATTAATGTCAAGAGTAATTTATACTTGAGTTGCTTCATTTATGCAAATTTTAAAAGATTTATTTTAAAGCATGTACTAGAATCTTATTTTATAATTCCTGGGTGTAAAGACATATGTTACCATAACCAACTTACCATGCTCTACCTAGGGCTGGAGATTGAACTGAGGTCTTCTTGCTTATACAATAAATGCTTTATTCCCCAGCTTTATTTACATATGTGTGCATGTTTGTCTGTTTATGTGCCATGTAGGGGCAGAGCCTGAGGTTAGAATAAGATCCCTAATCCTTTGGAACTATGGTTATAGGAGGTTGTGAGCCACCTGATGTGTTTTGGGAAGGAAAGCTGGGTCTTCTGCAAATACAGAAAATGCTCTAAATGTCTAAGCAATTTCTTTTTAAATGTCATTTGTGATGTATGTATGTGTGCACCACTGTAGACAAGTGGAAATCAGAAGACAACCTCCAGTATCTGTCCTCCCCTTCTCTCTTGTTTGATGTTAGCATGCACTACTTCATCTGGCTTATGTGGGTTCTGGGGATTGAAACTCAGATCCTCTGCGCAGCAAGCATTTTATTCACTGAGTACTTTCTTCAGTCTCCAATTTTATTCTCATTTTGGAGCTTTATGTAATTTTTCTTGTTAATTTGTTCTTTTGAAACAGGATCCTATTTAGTAACCCAGGGTGGCCTGAAACTTGCAATCCTCCTGCCTCAGCCTTGCCCCCGCAACTTGGCACTACATGCATGAGACACCATCTCTGGGGATCATATTTCTCCATGCCTCAGTTTCCTGTGTGTATGTGTGTGTGTGTGTAAACATTTATTTGTGTGTGGGTGTGAATGTCACCACCATATCCATGTATGGAAGTTAAAGTATGTCTTGTGGGAGATGGTGCTCTTACTTTTCTATTCATTCATTCATTCATTCATTCATTCATTCATTCAT